TCCCGCTGGCAGTTACTTCAAAAAATGCACCAGAGTTTCTGGGAAAAATGGAATCGCGATTACCTTCATACTTCACAACAGAGGTCGAAATGGCTCGATCCGTGTAGCAATATAGAACTAAATTCGATAGTTCTCCTCAAGGATGAGTTATCTCCACCACTGAAGTGGCATTTTGGTCGAGTGGAGAGCGTTCACACAGGATTGGATGAAGAGACCGGTTACCAAGGTCTGTCCCTTACCATATAAAAAATTGATACAAAATAATCCCTCTATGTGTTTTGTGTTGTCTCTTAAATTTAATCATTGATAAAATGTATATCATTTTAGATGGGCGGTATGTTCTGTTACTTTTCAATTGCCAATTGCCTATCTTTGCATAAATATTCGTTTTCAAATTTAAAATAGAAATTCGCGCGGTTTATCAGAAACAAGGTACTTCTCGCTATCGCCAAACACACCTGTAGTGGAGGAAAGGAGATGACCAAGGGCCAAGGTGGAGGAGCCGAGAGGTCAGGTGACAAGAGAGAAGATGAGAGACGCGTGAACCCGGCGATTTGAGAGAGAAAATTAAAAAACTCACTGCAATATATGTGTTCGATTGAATAAAAATAACCGCACGATAAACTCTCCAAGGAACATAAACTTACGTGTAAAGTGATGTGCTGATAATATCCTGAAAAGCAAGATACAAGCTCGGCGGCCGCCTGAAGCCTACAAGGAGGAAACCACGCGGTGTCCATCAATTATACCTATACAGGTGAGCGAATTTGCAAAAGATCTTGTTTCTGTCGAGTTTGAAAATATCCTTATTCGTGTACCTGAGATCGTGTACCTATCGAGTGATAATACAGTCCACTGCAACTTCTCGCCCATAACACCGCTGCTGAATAACTACTATTTGTTCTAGTTTCTATGATAACACAGAGTGTCGAAAAGAATTATTCCTAAATAAATGTTGCAGTAACTAATCCACTCTACAGTGATTATTCGACTATCGTCATAAAACAGCCTGTTTTTATTACTGGCACATCCATCTTGAGGTAGGTAACGCAGTAATTCGTCTTCTTTTATTATAGTTATCTGATATCTGAATGAAACCTGACATTTTGACATTCTATTGTAATATAGCTCATTAATAGTTATCCCAATATTTTTCTACTCTAGTATATTCATCAAACACTGGTAATTAGGTTATCTAATCAACATTGTTCTATAGTATGCATTATGAAACCGTGCTTTGATTTACTGCAATGAAAATAAATATCCTATCCACACTTACTTTTCATGATCCAAAGTTTTTTCAAAAAACAAAGTATTCGATTAGTCTCTGTATTGAAATATCTGGGTTTCTCTAGGAGTTTTTTTGACATTACTCATTGATTTTTTCGGAGAAATATCATCTTTATGCATACTGACGAATTTATTAAGAAATGAGAAGTTGAATACATATATTTACTCTTCCTTCGGAGTGTTGATGAGAATTGTCAATAAAGCTTCCCTCACAGAAACCCAGGTATTTTAATTCAGAATCTCATCGATCATTTTGTTTTTCGAAATAAACCAATTTTAGGCCGTGAAAAGTGGGAATGGAGAGTACTTTTTTCAATGCAGTAATGCAATGCACGGTGTATTTCACAGCTCGGTTCACAGCCAGCACTAAAACAAAATTTTGCTACATCACACACCTTCACCCACAAGACACGACTCTATCGATTCGGACGATCAAAACCATTGAACAATAATTTATTGAACACGGGCACCCATGACCGAAAACAGAAGTGGAAATGAACGCGATCTGTAGCTTTGTCAGCCCCGAAACAAATGAAAAACTGAAGCGAAATGAGCCGAATTACGATTGTCGAATGATTGTCTAATAACCGTCATACATGTGAATTGCTATAGTTATTCGTCAACGTACAATGCTAGAAACCCAAACAGCTATGATTATTGGGACAAACATTATCTGAATTCACGAATATGCATAATTCACAAAACGAGCTATGTCAATAAAAAATCTGAATAGACTAGAAGTTATAAAATTCTCATAATGTCATAACACACATGCGATATGATGGTAGCAAATGTCCATTCAAGGGTATTACGAATGGTTTAAGAAAGCGATTTTTATAATTACAGAATGGAGAGAATACTGTTGTAATAATAAATGGATCAGGAATAGGATATTTATTTATAATGCTTATTACAATCAGAGCTGATAGATATTTTTAATATCCAGTTTCTCTCAGTGTACAGCAATGTCACCCCAGTGAACTATCATTGGCTTAAAATTGGCATTTTTGGTAAATGGTGAATCACAAAAGTTGCCCATTGGCCTACTCAACGCCAATATTGGCGAAGCAGTACTTCCATATATTGCTTGTTCATTGTTGGCCCAGTGATGACTGACTGAGTTATGTTCTGTGCATTCCCAATGAAAATGGAGTGGTTTATCTTTACGCAGAGAATTTTGAGGTCACGTATAGAAAATATAATATTACTAATAATTTATGAAGATAATAATAATAATTGATACAATGAAACTCCTCGTATTCGGTTATACAGTATGGTGGAAATGAATGGAATAAATTCATTACCTCTAACGCATAAGAATTTGAAGAAAAATCCTGAGTCAGGTCGATTTTTATTTTCAAATTGACACCTCTTGATGTACATACGGAGTTTGTGACGTCATCCGCGTAATTGTGGTGACGTCATCGATTATTTTTTCAATGGAAACATCCCCTTTCTTTTTCGGAAGGTATATTACATTGTCTATCCAACCATATACTGATATAAGCAAAATAAAGTAATACAGGGTGGGAAAAGTAAGTAAGTATTGATTATTTTATATTCACAACGGTAACCGTTACAATGTTCGAATTGGTTACCTTCTGCAATTATACAATGTGATAGACGATATGTATACATACATCATATCATTTTATTCTATTTGAGAGATGATGTTAATCCTCAATTTCAGAGGATTTTGATTTTTCATGCTCTCTTTTTTAGATATTCAACAGATATGATTCATTGTTCGACGTGGCGAACAGTCAGAAAAGTAGTTGTTTTCTGTTGAATATCGAGAATTATATTATATATGCATATCTTATATGAAGGAGAATGCAAATTCTCTACTTCCGAAGATTTTGTTTTCAAATTCATATCGTGTGTGTTCAATAGATGTAATTCAATATTCGTCGGGGCATATAACCAGTAAAGTAGTTGTTATCTGTTGAATAAACGAGAAAGAATCGATATCTTCATCACATGGAGAATGCGAATTCTCAATGTATTTCTTTATATATAAATATCCATTTTTTTGTGTTCATAAATATATCTGAGAATGTTCCTTTTCAATACTTTCACCTAATCAGGGGATTCAAACTTGAACGATAGAAGCTTTTTATTTTTAAACCCCAATTGCAGATTCGTGATAAGATTTTCCTCAATTCAGAATTTCTCTCCATGTCCTGTATGATAAATGTCAATTTATCATACATTTGAAATTCTCTTCTTCTCTTCAATCTACCACTAAACCAAACTCATGCAATGTCCGAGCAAGGACGTCCACGGAATGTCCCAGCTGGTACATCATTTCAAATGTCTTAGAAATAGCATCCCTTGGACGTCTCATGCGGTACATATTGTAGAATGTTCATTCAAGGACGTCCTTGGCATGTCCCTGATGGGACATGCCTTCCTTTAGGGACATCCATCGGATGTCCCGAATAGTACATATTCTGGCATCACTTCAGATCTTATAAAATGTCCCTTCTAGAGAACCATGAAATGTCCTTGATGGTACATTCCTTCAAATATCTCTGCACAGACGCCCTTAATATTTCCAGGATCGTATAACAATCGAAATGTCCCAATTGGTACATATACTGTAATTTTCCAATGTCCTAGAAATAACGTCCTACGGACGTGTCAGTCGGTACTTTCAATATGTTGTCCCTGCGAGGACGTTAACTTACACCTCGCCGACGAATGATTGCTCGTAGGCTATAAATACTCCCCGTCAATGTCCTTCACGTGAGTCCATTGGACATCCTTGGGAAACTTTCTCGGGATCTATTGGGGATCTTCTACGGACCATCAACTCAACTGGATGTTCTCATCAGTTATGATGCAAGATCTGGTCCTAGAGGGACCCAGAAAAATTCAAATTCTAGAATAATTCGTACGTCTCTGGGACATCCTATGGACATCCAATTGATATCGCTCAGCGTTGCTGATAGGTTGTCCTACCGATGTCCTGAGAATGTCCTCCGTAGTGTTTGATGAGGAATACTGTAGGATTTAGGTATCCGAAGTGGGACGTTTGTACGTCTCACAGACGTCCAATGGACGTCCTGAATGTCCCGACAGGACGTCCTAAGGATATCCATGGGACATAATTGTGTTATTAGGGTTTGCCATCAGGAAAGACAACTCTGATGCCTTGAAATGCTTGGAGAAAACAACCTTGCTAGGACTTATGTACATACGTGTCAGGTATCCCCAATGCTTCACAAGCGATTCAATTAAGTCACAGTTTTTTCCTAAAACGAAGAAAAGGTGGACATTAAATTCAAGCATGTTTTGAATTGATCTAATAATTTCCAAGCCTGGTCGGTTTACTAACCTAAAAAAAATATTACTTATCAAAAATAGTGAATTATTGGAAATATTCCACTACTGCTGAAGAATACAATAAATCACATTAAAGGCATAACGAAAACTCATCGAAATCGTAAAAAAAATGCAGAAAATGGAAAGTTGTGAATAAACACAAAATAAACACAAAATAAACACAAAAGCTGACAGATAACTTTCAGTAATACGCAGATTCGCCAAGAGGCAATCGCTGCCATATTGGTTTTTCCTTTCTGGAACAAAATCATAACACAGTTTTTCCCTTCTCCTCTGTGTTTCAGTTCTGTGATCTCCACCTTCATAGTGTTTTGCACCACTCTTTACCAGTCTGACCACTATAGATTCTTGTTCATTTCCAGGTGTTGAACTGAAACCTAAAGATCCGTATTACTGGACAGATCCGAATAGTTGGAATACAGTTGGTAAAGAAGAAAACTATGCCATACCGCACATGGAGAGGCTGCCTTGTGAATACGATGACGTAGTTTTTCCTCGCGGAAACCTATCTGGGTCAGTATATTACTTTGGAGAAGAGGTGAAAATGAAAAGTCTCAGATTTGGCAATGATTCCTGGACAGATGAGAATCTGAGAAGTGATTCGGCGACGATGGCCAGTAAATGTAAGCGACTATACCTATATTTGAATCTGATTCATTTTGATAGGTATACAGGGTGAACCAAGAGGAACTGTACACACTCCTACTGTTCACTAATGGGGTGATATTATTTAATGAAAGTGGACTGTATATACTTTTTAAATCTCAACTTTATTCTTTCATTCCTATATATTAACTTAGGAACAAGTAAAAATGCGACGAACTCACTCGAACGCTAAAATCTATATTGTCTTGTTATCGAGGAAACAACCCTCGAGAACGTTCTTTCTACCTGCCACCCAAGTGGTGGTGGGGAAGTAAAAACATAATTTTAAAAACTTTGGACAGGGTCGGTCCCTATATAAACAATAAATGACTCAACACCTACCACGAATAGAGGCCCTCCAGAGGAATGTGTAATGACCATCAGGAAGTGTCTTCTTCTCTTTTTTGAACAATATATAGGGTGAACTATGAGATTTGGCAAAAACATCTTTTAGTCATAACTTTTCAACAGCTCCTTCGATTCGTCTGATTTTTTCATGAGATATTTCTCTACTGAACCCTAATCAACTGACCTATTCAGAATTGGGAAAAACAAAAACGAAAGTTTGGCAACAAATTTTATTCACTCAAAATTAATTTCTTTTCTACCCTGTAGATCTTTCCCAAATCAGTGGATGGTATATCTGGTTCAGATAACATGAGCTTGTGTATTACTATCAGCAATAACCTTTTTCTTGGGAAAATCACATGAGATCAATTGCTAGAAGTGCATCGATCTCAAGAACATAGATTTCTGTTTCGGGCGAGGAGCTATTTCACTACGAGCCAGCTGCTTATGATCTATAAGGCACAGATCCGACCTGTCCTGGAATACTGTTCTCATATTTGGAGTGCAGCACCCAAACATACCCTGAAACTGTTGGATTCTGTCCAAAAAAGGGCAATTCGTCTCGTGGGTAATGCCTCGCTCACAAACTCTTTCACTTCTCTGGAACACCGTAGAATCTGGCTCTATTTTGTAGATATTTTCATGGACGATGCTCTCCTGAAATTTCAACAATTGTTCCTCCCTTGGCAGTCCCCGCAAGACTCGTCGAGTTGAGGCTTCGCACCCCTTCGTGGTCACTTTAAAGACCTGCAGAACATCTCTTTCCAAAGACTCGTTCATCCAACGAACAGCGAGTCTCTGGAACACATTGCCAAGGGGGGTGTTCCCCGAAGCATATAACCTCCAGAAATTCAAGAAGAACACCAATTCCTACCTTATTTTTCTTGGTACTCACGACATGTTCTCTGAACATTACAGGATATCCCTTTTCGTGGGAACCAGAACATAAAAAAAAGATGTTAATTGTCATCGATTAAAATAATTCAAAATAGTCGAACAGAAAATAAAGGTTTACTCACAAATATTTTTCAAGTGCTATACTTCCAAAGGCGGATAATAATTCTAGTACGGAAAATAAGTGACTAAATTAACTGAATAAAACAAATCGAATAGATAAAACTGTGAAATGAAATCATAAAATTATGTATAGCGATGGCCATCAACATTTCCTCAGATACCTCATCCACTGATTCGAAAGAGATCTACAGGGTGATTATTATTTTTCCTCCACAAAAAAAATTAATCACTAAATCCAGGCCTGAAAATAAAATGATATGTTAATTTCCATTTAGCTGAATCATTGAAAATGTAAGTTTCACTTCCATCCGTGAAATGTATGGGTTGCGAAGTATTAATTTCAAAATAAATAAATTGTTTGTCAAGTTTTCGTTCTTTCATGGAATTCACAGTTTTTCTCAAACTACAGTGTGGAAGTGTGAGAAAAATTTTGAATATTTTATTTTTGATATTTGTTTGTGACCTTTGAAAATTCCCTGTCACAGTTTACAAAAACGATATACAGGATGAACTTTTTGCTATAAACTTCACTATCAACATTTCAGTCGATTAGAGAGTAGTAGCGGAATATTCCATGAAAATATCAGACGAATCGTAGAAGCTATTGGAAAGTTATGACCAAAAGATGCCATAATTCATCCTATATATTGGAAAAGAAGGGTGTTAGGCACTTTCTGATGGACATTCGGTATTCCCCTCAGGGGCCTCTAATGACTCAGCCTGTATTGCTTAACGGTATAATAAGGGATAGGAAGTTAATCGAATTAGATATTAGTTGCGTTAATCAGGGGCGTTTTAAGGGTTACAGGCGCCTGAGGCTAAAAATTAATCGGCGCCTGTAACTAGTGAAATTTTTGTCCCATAAAATAGTTGTGTTCAATCCTTGTTCGAAAATGTGGAAGGTTGCACTGTTTCGTTCTTATTATTCAAATACCACTTGGAAATATTGGGAATATGTTGCAATAATTCGGCTGTTTTTCTTTCCTTCTCTTTCTTTAATAGTATTCCATTGTCGATCTAAATGAAAACCTAGTAGGCGACCTAGTGCGAGGAGGTATAATATTGTCTGTTCAGTGAATCGAAATAAGTCTGTCTCATTTGTTTATGTCAAAATAGACCATATTAGGTTGATATTGTATTTTTCTATTTTTTTCCAATATGTAATCAACCACAGATGTGCTTTCCATCATTGACGTGATATTCGATACAAAGGCGATGAAGAAGATTCTTTCATGAGATTGAGATGTCATAATCAAAAAATTATTTTCTGACAGTTGTCATTAACTTATAATTTCGTTCACATTGATGTCTCTGAACTACATATTTTCTTCATTTGTCTTTTCAATGAACAGACAATATTATAGCTCCTGCCTACTAACTACCTAACTAAGTTGTCATCTAGAACGACAATGGTTATTCTCTGAGCCCCACTTAATTTCTTGTTCGAATTCATTTCTTTCCTTTACTTACTACACTTACTACACGTCAACACGGCTGTGACTGCTCGACTGATGTTTGCTGCCTTTGCTGGTGATGGGTAGTGCTTGAAACAAGAGTCTCGAGATCATACCCGTGTGTTCACCGAACACGCTCGATCGTTACCTAAGCGGTGGGGAGACCGAGAGACGTAAGCAGAAGCAGGCAGTCATGATACAATGAGTGGGCAGGCAGCTTCTCTCATGCTGTCTTTGTTTTTGTATTACGGGGTGGGCCACCAACAGTTTTCTTGATCACATTTCAACATTTTTTTTTTCGAATAAATAAGAAACATTTGATAGGCATCAAGTGATCTACTGCGACCTATCAGATAATGAAAGCGATGATTTGATTTGCAATAATTCGCTATGTCACGACGAGTCCTACATGTAAATAGCGAACCACTCATCGAAAATCATGAAACTATATGTACATATTATATGCTTATGTTTTGTTGGCAAGGACGCTCGTTTTATTCAAATTATTTTCGATAATGTTCATCTGCTTCACTAGAAATTATTATTAGTAGTTATGTAGTACTTAGTAGTATAGTATAGTAGCAGCTTTGTTATTCAAAATGGAACACCTTATATTTCATTACATTTTTCGATTCTTCTAATTGAGCTATGATTTCGTTGATCAAGCTCAAGGTATACCTATACGTAGAATGTGAAAAATCGAGATTTTTTTTGTATCGAAACTATACAATACCTATATTGATTTGTCAAAATGGCTTACATGTGTCCCTTTCCTAACATTCTATTTACTATCTACTGATGCCATTTAATTGAAACAAATACAGGGTGGATCAGATTTCAGAATTATATAAAAGAAGTACTAGAGTATATGCCTACTAAAAAAATATATATATTTGAAATAAACAAAACAAATATATCACATAAAAAAACACACTCTAATATTCAACATAAAATAAAATTCAATCCCACTGGATGTATTTAAAAATATAAACAGTGTGCATGTCACTTCTATAATGGAATATCAACCCGTATATCTAACGTAACTGTTCAATTTTAAGGAGCGATAGATATATATACCAACTATGACCAAAGTGAGGTAATCTTCGGTGAAAAACACTGCTCTGGTCATGGACCCACCAACATTTCCGGAAAATGATATTAGGAGGCAAGATAGGTTAAAAATCACTTCGGATTCGAAATCAGGACGTAACCCTGTACCTCGAAAACGAAGCAAGTTTAGGACACATGTTTATATGACCTTTATTCATCATATTATATCACAAGGAATGATTCCTTGAATTATTTCGGTGTTATTTAGATACACCCTGTATAGATCATTCTTCATCCCAACATTTTTCCCATAGCGAAGTTCAGCAAATACCGATGGCGAGAGCACTATGTTTATTGATTTGATGTCTACCTATAATATATGTAAAACAAGAAGGCACAACTACTAGTGTTCCGTTTCGAAGTACATTAAATTGACAAATTTGACTCCAAAATAATTCAGGCACGCGCCAATATTCATAACGTAGTTACTGCTGCCCGTTTACGTTTCCCAATCCCCACCGCTTAGGGAACGATCGGGCGTGTTCGGTGAACACACGGGTATGATCTCGAGACTCTTGTTGCTTGAATCCTCCAATTTCGTTTCCAGCGCTGCCAATTTTTGGCTTTTTCCTAGGATCTGCTGGCGCCCCTAAAATCTGCGGCGCCTGAGGCTTTAGCCTCATTAGCCTTATGGATAAAACGCCCCTTTGCGTAACTTGAACCTCTTGAAATATGCAGTTTTGCAAACTTTATCTTACCCAGATAACACAGGATGTCCTATGGATATCCTTCTCAAGTCCATTTCAGGTCGGGATATCCTGGGACATGAAATGGATATCCATAGGATATCCGTCAGAGGATATCAAATGGATATTCTGATGCGGATCACCTATGGACGTCCATAAGATGTTCGTTTAGCGAACAAAAATTGTTAATTGAGAAATGGTTCAAAACAAAACGAATCATCACAAATATCACATGCAAATCACATGTTTATTAGAAATTCAAAGGTAGTTTTCCATCATATAACTATTGTTATGTAGGTATAATATGTTTATAGCCACAATTAAGATATCCGATGCAAATATGAATTCATATAAATAACAACACCACAGTTTGGAATTTTTCTCTGTTGTTCAATGTTTTCGTACAAAAATATACAATCACTCGAAAATAGCTCTCATATATTTACTCTTTTGTGGTCTTCAGATGGACATCCATGAGATATTCATCCATGGATTTATAGCGGATATCCATCAGAAGATATCTTATGGATAGCCATAAGATATCCAAAGAAAACATAAAATCATATTTATGTCAAAATAATTTTTGTTCTTCAACATTTTCGCACAAAAATATGATTTTTCAGAAATCACTTGTATCTCCATTTTTTTCCTTGGGATTGAGATGGAGATCCATAAGAAGATATATTCGCATCCCTGAATTCAAAACTGGGTAGGTATTTTCCCAATGGATAGTAATAAAATATTCTGAAGCAATAAAATATAAATCAATATGGCATTCACGTGAATGACAAATTTTCCAAAAGGAAGATGGAAAAATCTAAGTGAATCTAATTCTTGAATTCACCTTAACAGCATTTCGGAAAATAGCTTCATTGTTGCGCTAGGATAACGCGATTCAAATCCGGCCACTTCGCCTCCTCTATTTATCTCTCAAAAGATTGAGTTCAATTCGAATTAACCTCCATGGCTAGAATCGTTCTGATTGGTCTAAAAATGCATCCATGTCGAAAGTCATGGTAAATTGAATTCTTTCATGAGGTATGAGCTAAAGCTTAAGGTGGTTCACTCCTATAACTTTTTCATTATTGTAGGTAGTAAAACGTCAATTGGGGTCATGAATTATAGTTCATTTTATATTATTCGACATATCTACTTGCTTTACCGCACTTTTGGTTTAACCGAGGATGGCATTTTCAAACGGGACACCCTGTATTTTATTCCATAATCGGTTAAGGATTATCATAACGAATTCAACGATACTGTGTTTGATAGGATTTCTACAAACGATTAAAAAGATATTCACATTTCCATATCCTCAATGAGCATATGAAAACTTCGAATGCCATATCTTCGTAATCGTTTGAAATAACCCTATCCACTCCGGTACCGTTGAATTCGTTATAATAGTTCCTAATTCATTATGGAATAATATACATGGTGTTCTATATTGTTAAGGATATTTAGTAAATATCCCTGAAAAATATCTCATGGATATTTGTGAACAATATCTTATGGATATCCCTGAAAAATGTCTTATGGATATTTGTGAACAATATCTTATGGATATCCCTGAAAAATGTCTTATGGATGTCCCTGAAGGATATCCTATAGAAGTCCAACTCCTTCCACTCGGCACGTCCATTGGACGTCCATAAGATATACATCGGATATCACTGGATATTCTCTGGATATCCCAAATATCCTAAATGGACGTCCAATGGATGTCCATCGAATGTCCGTGTGTTGACTGGGATAAATATTTCCAGAGATTCACCTCGCAACTTCTGTTTTTTTATTAGGCGCCATAATATGTGTTATTCATAATCATTATAAATAGAGCTGAGAATTCCCTTTACAGCAGCCATATCGACATTATCAAATGAAAACAATTTCTTGCTCATCATCACTGCTTGAAATTAAACTGCTACACTTTCAAAAAATGTGGTAGGCCATAATTATAAGAAAACAAAATATCAGTCGTCATTGTGAGTCTCTGAAAATAATGGAGATTTCTGATTCTTTGTCATGATTGAGTACCTACTTGTTACCGTAAATTTACGAATTTCTTTCTCAAATATTGATCAAAGAAATGATCAAGATCAAAATCAATTAATTTCAGTGTTTTCAATATATTTTAGAAACGGCTGAAATTTTGTCAGTTTGCAAAACGGCATACTGAAGAGGTTTAAAATACGCAACTTTTGTCTAATTTGATCAACTTGCTATATGTCTTACCGTTTGGAAAATAGTAATAATGTCCATATGAAATCAACGGTACCCTGATGTATAGTGGAATGATGGACGTATTCCTCAATGTATACACTGCTTCGGAGTTGTTTACAACACTACCAGTGACAAGTTACGAATAAGGAGAGCGGTCATTTTCAAAATTAACAATAATAATAGATAACAATCTCTCAGAATAATTTCGAACGAAAAGTTGAAATTATGATTGTGCATTCATTGAAAAAACCATTTCAAATTAAACTAAAGATAGTATTTCAACTATTCATATTAAGTGAATCATAAATATCTCAACTAATATATTATTACAGCTCGTTCACTGTCATAGTTGGTAGACAAACGTAGGTTAAAATTGTTAAAATCAACCAACCTTCTTGTTCTTCCCATTGGTATTTGCAGGGCGACAGCGTCCACATGAGATTTTCTTGCTTACGTCTTATTTGGTTCTTTGTGTTGTGGCTTTATATTATTTTGATATCATCATTACCTATTGTGCAATGAAGTGATTTTGGTAAGTCGATTATGTAATCAATGTATTCAATATCGAGTTGTAATTTAGTACTTAATTTGGTAATGATTTAAACACTGTAGCTATAGTTCATCTCTTTTTCTCAGGACTCTCTTCAATTTTTGGATCATTTCAGTACAAAAGGAGTGGATATATCACCAGGGAAGTTGTATATAACAAGTACCAGAACCATACAAGAAGATTGAGAAAATTTTGAAATCTCTGGCCAAGCAGGAGTACCACTAATGTAGTCTTCCCAATTAATATTCATGATGAGGAAAATTCATCAGATGATGGAAATTATGTGATGGTGAGTATATTATTCATGAATTCAATCAATTCAATATTGAATTCATATTTCGATTCTACACATTTCTTGCAGAACGAAGATGATAAACTATGGAAGAGTACATTCAAATTACGGAGACGAGAATTTACAAATAAAGAGAATTATACTGTAGATATTTTGTGAAGTTGGCCACCCTTCAACACTTAGATGATAGTTTCGTTTTGGTCAAGATGAAACAATGTTTTGGTAAATAATATAATGTCGATATGTTTTTTAGGTTGAATTGGAATTCTCCAACTTACATGAAGAGGAAAGAAGTGTTCCACAATGTTACTTGTGTTGAAGAAGTAGACACACTAGAAAAATGTTCTTTCTATTTTTCGTTACAAACTTAACATGTCGAAAATTTGATGTAATGAATAAACTTGATGTTCATTAGAAATCTGTATTACTTCAGTGGTACAAGAACCTGAAAAATAGTCAATATACCTATATCATGAACGTATTCATACGTCCATGACCTATATCTACAATACACTTTGTTGGTGAACCAAATAATAAGGCTATCTATACAAAATATAAGTGGAGGGACGAATATGATCACTCATTTTGTTGTGAGACTAAAATCTGATTGATAACAAATTTTCTTGATCAAAACAACAATTCCATTCGTATGGTGACTAAAATATTCAACTATTGTTCGCTGGTTGATTTAATTATCAAACCTGATATAGGCTCATTTTTTTTTGGTTGATTCAACCTATCAATTTGTTTGAGTATACCGACAACTATGAAACTAATTATTTCTAAAAATCGTATATCAACAATGAACAAAAATATGATGCTGGAAAGTCCGGGAACACAACACTACTGAAAAACAAATGACCCCAATAAACTTAGCAGAACCACTTCAATATTTCGGATTTGCAATAGTACTATAATTTGTTACTAATTTAGTACTAATTTATTACCATATTCGCAAATTCATTACCCTTCATTAAACAGAAAAAACCAACGGCTCTGCTAGCTTTATGTCAACCTAGCAGAACCATAGCTGAAAATTTGATATTTTGCAAATTTTAAATATACCATAACTTATTACTATTTAATTACTAACTTATAACTATAATCACGAATAATTGTTTACTCATCATTTCAAGGAAAAAAACGACGATTTGTCTATCTCGAACTCAACCTAGCAAAACCAAAACTCAAATCACATGTTTTTTGAAATTCTGTTGTATCATCGATAAGTTACTAATTTATTACTAATTTATCACCACATTCGCAAATTTCTAACACTTCATTCAACAGGGAAAACCAACGGCTCTGCTAGCTTGCTGTCAACCTAGCAGAGCCATAGCTAAACAATTATTATTTTGAAAACTTCAAATATACCATAATTTATTACTATTTTATTAGTAATTTATAACTATAATCACGAATTTTTTACTCATCATTTCAAGGAAAAAAACGACGAATTGACTATCTCGATCTCAACCTAGCAGAACCAAAACTCAAATCACATGTTCAAATTGAATCAAATAAAAAATTCGTGATTATAGTTATAAATTACTAATAAAATAGTAATAAATCATGGTTTATTTGAAGTTTTCAAAATAATAATTGTTCAGCTATGGCTCTGCTAGTTTGACAGTAAGCTAGCAGAGCCGTTGGTTTTCCCTGTTGAATGAAGTGTTAGAAATATGCGAATGTGGTAATAAACTAGTAATAAATTAGTAACTTATCGATGATACAACAGAATTTCAAAAAACATGTGATTTGAGTTTTGGTTCTGCTAGGTTGAGATCGAGATAGACAAATCGTCATTTTTTTCCTTGAAATGATGGGTAAAGAATTCGTGATTATAGTTATAAGTAAGTAATAAAATAGTTATAAATTATGGTATATTTAAAATTTTCAAAATATCAAATTTTCAGCTATGGTTCTGCTAGGTTGACATATAAAGCTAGCAAAGCCGTTGGTTTTTTCTGTTTAATGAAGGGTAATAAATTTGCGAATATGGTAATAAATTAGTACTAAATTAGTAACAAATTATAGTACTATTGCAAATCCGAAATATTGAAGTGGTTCTGCTAAGTTTATTGGGGTAAACAAATGATAACTTCGACTGTTCGATAGGTATATCCTTCCTTTTCTAGACACGATCTTCACCTTGGAAGATCTGCAGGATGCTTTCTTCGTAACGAACAAAGGATGCGATGATGTAACCGGTTGCATTTGTGGAAATGCTGAGGCTTATGTTGGTGTCTGTGACTCAGTACCCACAAAAGATGATTTCAGATGTACCGATCCTGTGACTCCTGTTGGATTTTGTCAACCAATATGTGGTAAGCAAATTATTATTCGAATATTCCATCGGAGGAAAATATGCGCATAGTTCCATTCCAGACAGCACAGAATATTCTAAGAATATTATGACAACGTTCAAATACAGGGTATTTAAAAAACCTAACCCCCTTGCTAGGTTAGGTAGAACATCGCAAAATAAGTTGGGTTTGCTCAGTGAAAATATTTATTTATTTATTTATTTATTTAATGTTACACTGTTCTACAGGTCAAACCCAACTACAGAACAGGGAAATAAGTATAACTAATAATACAGTTTTTCATATTTTGAAAAGTATATAAATATAGGCAAGACCTTTAGCTGAAATAAAAAGATTTAATCGTAGAGATAGAGCAATGAAAGATATCTGGCTGATTATTTGATGAATTATTGTATATAGAACACATGTTATGGAGAGGAGAATATTTCAGAATATTTGTTCGTGGTGTCGGAAGATAGAATGTATTGAAAACTCTAGAAGTTTGTCTAGGCACAGTGAAACTCAGCTTCTGCAAAATGTGAGAGTCAGTGATAATGTTATTCACCACATTGAAAAGGAACACTGTGGATTGACAATCACGACGGCAACTGAGGCTTTTCATAGCATGTCTAGCCAATATATGTCGTAACACGTATATGTCGTATATGTCGTAACACCATCCAATTTCAAGATACAAGGTGTTGAAAAATATGTTTTCTACACTTTTTTTACGATTATGTCGAAACTACTGGCAACATTGTGATGAAATTTCGTATGGATGTGTTCTGGAAGCTGACACGCACCGCATGAATTCGTTTTTATATCTGACACTCATAGAGGGCGCTAGTTACAAGGTTCGTACCGAGTACTTTTGGACATAACTTTTCTGAGGTTAGATTTTCCAGTCCAAATTCAATGTAAACTTAGACACCATTAAATTTTACACCAAAATTATGCGCTTGGTGAAACTCGATACTGGTACCGTTTTCGGAATATTTCGATTTGAAAATGCTGAAGCAATAACTCTGATTCTAGTATTAGAATAAGTATTATGAAAAACAATCATCTATTTATTAAGGACAAAAAACATTAACATTATTTTACTGCTGAAGTTATCGATTGAACAAAATAACATCAGAAAATATTTAATTAAATTTGACTAAAAACATCATCTAGTTAGAGTAAGTGTCCAAAATGTTCTTCGGTTTCACGAATACACAATTCGATCCTTTTTTTTCTAAAGAATACATCTTCTCAACGGTTGAGGATCAGCTATGAAATCATCGAAGTGATGTTCAATTCTTTCTAGCAGCTCTTGACGTGGTTATTAATGAATAATAATAATAATGATATAATAATAATAGTAATAATAATAATATTTATTTGGATAAAGTTCAACAATATAACATCTTATATACTATGAATGCAAATAAACCGAGGGACAAACCGCAAAGGCACTGGCTGTCCGCGGTGTGAGGATTTGGTGATAGGTGACAGTCTTTTATAATACTTACTTTCAACTAGCGTCAGTCTAATACTTCAGAATTTTCGAAAACGGAACACAGAATCAAGTTTTACCGGGAGCACATTTTTAGTGTAAAATTGAATGATCTTCAAGTTCACATTAAATTTGGACTGGAAAATCTAACCTCAAAAAAGTTATGTTTAAAAGTACTCGGTACGAAGCGTGTAACTAGCGCCCTCTATGAGTGTCAGATATAAAAACAAATTGATGCGATGTGTCAGCTTTCGAAGCCAGTAGTTTCAACATAATCGTAAAAAATGTGTGAAAAAAATATGTTCTCAACACCTTGTATCTTGAAAACGGATGGTGTAGCGACATTTTTTTACTGAGCATACCCAAATTATTTTGCAATGTTCTACCTACCTTAGCAAGTGGTTTAGGTTTTTTTTGGAACACCCTGTATACCTTCTTATTTTAGAAGATTCCGATAAATCCGATAGAATTTTCTCAGAAGGATAATAAAATGTTTTCATCCTGCAACAAATAATATTCTATTATACAGAGTGATTCATTGGAAAATGCGCAAACACCAGTAAGGGTTAGATAGAGGACACCGAGGTGCTCCTGAATAATCTATATTTCATGGGTCTATATCGTTCTTTATGAACAAGATACCGGGTGATTTATTGATTTCTCCCATTGTTTCAATTAATCATAACTTATGAACCACGACCCTATACAATTCATTGATATTTGGTTTGTTGTTCCTTGTCCACAGTGGTGACGATTGACATAATAAATAACAGTTTCGTTTCAGGGCCGGCCTTGAAAAAATTAATGAGTAGGTTTCGAGTCGAAATAACACCCTATATATCAATATTTTGGAATCTCATTAACAAATTTGGAAAGAGCAGAAAAAAATTAGTATGACTGAAATTATTTGGTATTTCCGCATACAACTTTTTTATACCTTAATTTGAGTCACATCTATAGATTTCAAATGGCAGTTTTTCATTCTTAATCCATAAAATCATCAACTTTTTCATATTCTCCAAATTGTTGGATCCCAACCTAATTGAAAAACTAGAGGACAAGTCCGTATTTGGGAAAATTATTATTATTAAATGACTAACTTTGAATACTCTGTATATGTAAGTGAATCATCATAGCATTTTTTGTTTATTGTACTACATTTGGAACAACGATTATGAAAATGAAGAACAATGCCCATTATTCCTAAAAAATCATAAATATCTCTGTTTCAAACATATCACAATAGGCCTTTTCATATAGATATATTCTTAAGACGTATACCATAGATTAACGACTCCCCCGTATACGTTCGTTTTTAGATCCAAAATTTGATTGGGTAATGCGAAGGTGAAGTTTCATTGGTAAGAGTTCCGACACAACATTCTGATTGACCATTTTGAATATGGCGATTTTTATTGACTTTATTGACGTTCTGTCAAAACTTCACAAACGATAAGATTTCCACAGAATTTTGCGCAAATCTTATCGTTTGTGGAGTTCATACATTTGCCATGGATTTCCATCAAGTAACGGCCGAGTCAATTCAAAAAAAAGTCTACTGTATTTTTCGTTACCATAAAAAACTTATTACTTCTTTCACTTCAACACCTGTCAAATAAGTTAGTGTGATTTGAATCAAGTAGTTGAATTCACATTATATTGCTTATCTTTTTAGCAAATACTTTATACTCAATGAACTTGATAAAAACGTTCCATGTGGATTTCTGTTGCTTTAATGAAATGAAAATCAAAAGAGTGTAAGTTATCTCATCTGTTATTGCTGAATTTCTATATCAAACTGAACATATAACTATCTCAATCATTATTATCACGAATATGGACGACTCGACTAAGTATCATTTTTATTTTATCAATTGATGAGTTATGACCGCGAAAGTTGAATGAAAAATCATTATTTTCATTTGTCTGTGTGTTTAATGCCCTCCGCTCCGCGTAGTGCATCAAACTTCACACGCGGGAGGAAATGAATACCTTTCCTCCCTTGATATATAAATAGCTATTATTTATTGAAATAAGAATTGGAAATCCCTGAACTTCAGATATTAAACACCCAAATATAAAGATTTAGCCCAACAAGCCTCATAAAAATATTGCTGGTTCAAGAGATACAGGGTGGTTAAGGAGAAGATTTTATTTCAAAATATATAGGACGAAAGTTGGACTGACACCGACTTCCTAGCTCAATGACATTATTGATACGCGCTTTTCAACAAATCGTGAATCAGATGAGACTACGCTGTGAGCCAAGAAGCGAAAAGCCAGCATGTGAACGCACCTGCTTCGAAGGTAAGTCCTTAAATGCCGTTTTCTTCGATCCTAGAATCACCAAATTCGGTTCCTCATGATGATTACCTGGCCATTCCATGGTTAGAGGTCGTATACAAGGCCTGTCTTAGCCTAACTTATGTACCTCAGAAGTGGAAGGAGGTGAGGGTGGTTTTCATTCCTGAAGGGGGTAGTTCGCACAGCACCCCCTAGGATTATAGGCCTATAAGCTTATCATCATTTCTACTAAAAACACTAGAAAGATTAGTAGATTCATATACAGGGTGTTCCGGTGATCATGTTACAAACTTCTAGGGTAGATAAAACACACGAAAATAAGAAAAAAAGTTCATGTGAACATGGGTCCGGAAACGCTTCTTCAGGAAGCTATGGCCCTTCGAAGATGACCTTCAAAAACTACTTTTCGTTTTATAGCTTCGGTACTTCAGCGAAAGTATAATCCATGATTCACTGGCGACACAATATTTTATTGACAGATTTTTGACAACTATCTGTACTGAACCTCATTTTCATATTTCAACGTAATAGTAATTGGTTTAAGACCAATAATTTATTATTGATTTGATTTAGCCATTTTCGGAGGAAACAGTGACAGATAGCGATTTTTACAAAGGTACCTTTTTTATGTAAAAGGCATTGGAGAATCATAATTGTATTACTTTAGTAATCCTATTCGTGATGGATAGAATAAACAACCAGTAGAAAGTATACAACTTTAATTCCCTTTAACTGACTAGCTGTCACTATCAAGATGACAATATATAATATCTGCATGACCATGACAACAATATACTAATAATAGAACAACACTATAATATATAGAGGATCCTAAGAACTATAACATAAGCGATATCATACATCTTCCCTTTCAAGCTTTTTTTTTTTTTTCAAAGATTTAGTTTTTCTGGTTTTTTGATCGCGCGACCAGAACGTGTAAATATCGCGTCTTTGAGAGGAGGACTGTTACTTATCGAACTATTCTCAATTGTCTGGTTGGATTGAGGAGCATGTATGATGGGTTCAAGATTGATGATGTCTGGTTGGGAACCACTGTTAGAAGGTTTCATATCATTGTGTTCTGAATGATCAACATGTTCTCTACTGATAGGGCACGGATTTTGTGATTCTCTAATATCACATCGGTTCCTTCTAACTGTGTTACCATAACAATCCTGCAACATATAAGATCTTGGTGCTTTATGATTACTAACAACTC